GGTGAAATTTCACTTTTCTCCTATTTTGATATAAACATCAAGGGTTTAAAAAGAGAAGAAAGAACTTCCTTTCACATGCAAGGAAAACTTTATTTTTGTCCCTTTTGCCAAAAGCGTGGTTTCTGGACAACTTATTCCTGGTTTTTCTCTTTCCTACACGCAAAGCTCTCTCAGTGACAGCCCAGGAATACACAATTAGTGCACATCAATGGACAAGATGCCTCCTCCTCTGCCAGGTCAACACATAGTTCTTACAGACAGACCCAGCCTCTCGAGAAAGTAAAGCAGAAGCTTGAACCTCCAGATGAGAAATTTGAGTCTAATCAGCCATCTTGGATCTCAATGTGAGCTCATGGTACTCAGAACAATCATGTCTGCCTGAGTTATCTAAACTGGCTGCCTGTCCTATCCCATAAATCGAAGGAGTGATTAAATTGCACAAACTTCCTCCTCTTTGTTTGGCTAAATAAACATCTTAGGAGAAATAATTCACTTTGCTAATTGAGAGTAGTCATCTGAAATATTCAAAGCTGCCAGCTGAGGCAGTGCAGCATGGTGAAAGTGTTTGTCAGAGATGTGGGGACCTGGGTTCTCTCTGCCTTCATTTTGCAAGTTTGCAGCAGCGACATGAATTAGTAATGCCTAAGAAAGTTCAAAGGGATACCTTTTGTGAGAGCTTCTTCTCTCCCACGCTATTTGGGCTGCTGCAGGGTCTTTCTCACACTATCATCATTTCATCTTCCTCGTTCACAGTGACATCCCTGCTATGAATCTCCATGCTGTGTTCCCGGCAGCGATTACCATGATTTGCTTCTTTCACCTCAGATGCAATGGGAGCATAGCAGCTACTGCTGTGTCCCTTGCCTACCCCCTTTCCCCACCCTGAAGTGACCTTGACACCATGATTGGGGCCAGAGTCTGGTTCTTGTCATGTGGCCCGTGTTTCAGCCACTGTAAGTTGTCATCACCATCAGAGTCTCCACTCTCTTTGCCAGTTACATAAGAGGCCGCATAATGTCTGCTCCCTCGCACAAGCTTTTATTAAACAGAGACAGCCCGAGAGGCCAAGTGGGCAAGAGGTTCCTCCCGGAACCACGTCCCCTGGGAGTGTGAGTGGCCGTCTTCAGGTCTTGGCTCCTGGAGCCACTCAGCTCAGCTCTCTGCCTGTGTTTGCAGCTTTAAATACCCAAGGACGACATGTTATGTTCTCAGCCTGAAGGGGCAAAAGAGAAGCAGCGCTTTCAAAATAAGAATTCCCCTGCTGTTTGCCTCATTTTGGAACACAATAAGAACAGGCTGAGGACACAACTGAGCTGTCAACGCTTCCTACCCTGGGTCCACAGCACCTTTCATTTGCCAGAAAGTTGCTTAAGTTAAACAAGGGCCTAATGAATAGTCAAAATAATTGTTTAGCTTGGATATAAGGCCTTTGGTAAATAGATGATTGCCTGAGACCACAGGCCAGTAAAAGCAGTTCAGCCGGACGCCACTTGTTCTGTTCTTCGGACATCAGCCAGTGGCCTCTGTGCCTCCGAAGACTGTTGTTACTGAATTATGTCCCTCTCCCCACAAGCATATTGAAGCAATTTAGTGTAAGAAGGGTTTCAGGAAAGCAGGGAGAAGGAGCGAGGTCTTTCTATGTTAGAAATGTATACTTAAAACATTCGTGTTGCCACATTAGTGCTTCAAATAAATAGAATTCTCAAGATACGAAATGTTTGGTTTGTTTGGTATTTAACTTTTCAAGTCGAAAAATTTCTAAAATGTATTGTTAGTCCACTCAAAAGCGTGCTGCCTCCTGCCTTACTAGGCTTTTTAACATGATATAACCCTTTCTTAAAACAACTATTTACTACATCTAAAGGCCACAACTAGGTTTATGAGGAACCTGCTTCAAGGCTGTAATTGCAGTTATAGACAGTATAAGCACTGAAAGGAAACTTTCGGGTATGGGTTTTGTAGTTGCTGTTGCTACTGTTGATTTGTTTTGTTTGTTTGTTTAGGTATCTTTGCTATCAACTTGCTTCATTGTTATTTGTCTCTTTTTCCCCAAAGTGGGGTTGCATCATGAAAAGTCTACTTAATTAAGAGCTTGAGTAAATGAGTTGCCAGGTAATTTCAGTTCTGCTGAATAATATTTGTAATAATTGCTTTCCATTTCTTACTTGAAAATAATACATGCCTCAGTGATTCAGAGCAGGGTCTGGTTGCGTTACTCCACAGCCCGCAGGGCTACAAAGTCAGGAGGAACACTTTAGTAATACTGAGAAAAAAATACTAGTGGCAAAATGATTTACATTGGGTGAGCCTAAAACCCCTAGAAGCCCAAAGGGATGACCCAAGAGGTCAACAAATCCACAAACCCTGCAGGTTCTGTAAACCAAATTAAGAGGGTCTCATCTATGCGTAGTTTTTCAAGTCTACGTCTATCTCACTGTCTTTCATAAAATATAAATTCATTTAAAGACAGCGTTGAATTTGTTATATCGGTTGAATATGCTATATTTTCTCATTGGCTATTAAAAGTACATCTTCTATTGTGTACGGTCTGTGATTTTTGTTTTCATTTTAAAAACCAGGTATACACACTGCATAAGTTTAGAAACCAATAATATTTAGGAGAGAGCTCTGTTTATGCAGTTTAACAACCTAGATTTAAAGACTAGCCCTGCTAATTATAACTTTAAAGCACCATAAACTCAGGCAGTCAGTTCACGTCAATAGACGTCTACTGACCACCAGTAAGGGACCCGAGCCCTGAGCTGGGACTCGGAGGGCGACCAGCAGTCCTTTACTTTCTTCTCTGAGACTCGATTTTCTCATTTATAAAGTAAGGAAAATGATAATGACTCTCCTCACAAGGCTATTGTAAGGATTAAATGAAATAAACAAGAAAGTAAATATACTGTGATGTTTGTGAACGTGCTTCGTAAACTCTTTAGAGATTTATAAACAGAGGGTGTTCAAGGCAACTGCTGAGGAGAGGTAAACCCTTTAGCTCTCCCCGGCGGCTTTCCTCTAACTACTCACCCTCTATCCCCATGAATTTATCAAATGCTAACAGTATTCCTTTCTTTGATGTCAGATTATAGTTATATTTTATTTTATTTTAAAGATTTTATTGGAGAGTTGGGGAAGGGAACGGTGTTGGGGAATTGGAGAAGGGGAACATTGTGTTTTTCCAGGACCCATCAGCTCCAAGTCAAGTTGTTGTCCTTCAGTCTTAGTTGTGGAGGGCACAGCTGAGCTCCAAGTCCAGTTGCCGCTTTCAGTCTAGTTGAGGGAGGGCACAGCCCACCATCCCATGCGGAAGTCGAACTGGCAACCCTGTTGTTCAGAGCATGCACTCTAACCAACTGAGCCATCTGGCCGCCCTATAGTTATATTTTAAATGTACTTTTCAACCTCTTCCCTCTTCCTCACACTTCACAATATTCCATAAATTGTAACATCCTTTAATATCAATATGTCGCTACAATATCAGATTATACAAAGCATTAAATAAGGTACCAATATAGAACTCAAAGCAGGAAATAACTCAAGGGCTGAGTATACAGTTAATAATCCCAGTACACACAAGGTCCATCTCTGAGGTATATTTTAACCCCAATCAATTGCATGTGTTACAGCCAATGAGGATCTCATCAGGTCCTGGCTAACTTCAGGAATTAGGATGAAGACTTGGTCCTCCTCTCCACTCACAGGCTGAGGCCCCAGTGTCATCTCGTGTCTGAGAGAGTGGTTTATGGGAGTGGCCCCATTACTCATGGACTTTAAACCTTTCCTGATTCAGATCTTCCAGAAATATATTAGGTCTTAGGTTTTTTTCCTCTCCTCTGATTCCACGTTACATGTACTATTTGGGAACTTAGTCTATCTATTCTTGTCTGCAGATGGTATTCACTTAGAATGCTAAGTACCAGACAACACACAAAGCACTTTGGAGAAATGTAAAATGCATAGTATGCATGATCCCTGCTTTGCAGAAGTGTAGAAGGAAGTGAAACCAGCATTTATTGCCAGGCAGCAAGCATTATTTTATATTCTCCTACAATGACACCTTGAAGTGAGGCAACTGAGGCCCAGAGCCTGATTTGTCCAAGGCCTATTTTATTCTAAAGTCCAGGCTCTCTCCACTCAACTTCATTACCTCCATGGACTGGGAAGGCAGGACACACACCAAAAAGGAAAGTGTAGGGCAGCCGGTTGGCTCAGGTGGTTAGGGTGCAGGCTCATAACACCAAGGTTGCCACATGTCCACTGAGCTGTGCCTTCCACAACTAGATTGAAGACAATGATTTGAGTAGGAGCTGATGGGTCCTGGAAAAACACAATAAAGTTTAAAAAATAAAAAAATAAAAAATAAAAAGAATATTGTAAAATTTAAGAAAAAGGAAAGTCTACACAGACATGAAAGGAAACCTACAAATAAGTCCTAGAAACTCTACAGACAATCACATATCTAAGGGAGGCTAAGTGTCTGAAGTGCCTGGAGCTAGGCTGGTCTTCCTCGGAGCAGATTCTAAAGGCAATCAATGCTTTAGACTTGAGGAACAAGGGATGTGCATGCCAGTCAGAAAACCATGGTGCTAGAACCAAAAGAAACAACATTGTGGGTGATTAAAACTTCTAATAAGAATGAAAGCTATAATCCCAGCTCACCATTTGTCCTTCCAGATTACGATGCTCCCTCTTTATGGCCGTTGGAAGTATAAAAAGACTGTGGAAGCTTTGTCAATTACCAAAATGTTCACAGAGCCATCTTCCAGGCAAATATAAAAGAGAACGCTGCTTCATTTCTTAGGGTATTGCCAAACTTATTACACTGGGCATTCATTAAATATCTCTTCCCACATGGCACTCTCTTAAGGTGAATAGAAATCATTTTTCCCCTGACATTTGGTGTTGGTCCTAGTGACGTTAGTGGGTAAGAGGATTTACAGAGGATAAGTGAATATTCTTGGCAACATTTTCAAACTTTTGGATCTTCTGTTTTCTAGGAGATGTACGACTAAGGGGTCAGACAGGGGTTCCTGCTGAACGCCGTGGCTCCTACCCATTCATTGACTTCCGCCTCCTTAACAGTGAGTAATCAAGTGTACCTGGAAAGGAACAAACGTTTTCTTTAAAAAAAACAAAAAACTCACTTCCTCCTGAACTTCAAAACCCTTCGAGGTCTGCCTTCCTTCCTTCATCTTTCCCCTCCTAAGTGGAACTTAGCTATTTGTCTTTAGACTTCCTCACTAGTGAAGTAATTCTGGCCTGGCTCCCTCAGAGCTTTGGGGTGGGGGATGTCAAATGAGATCCTGCCAGCTTTATAAATGTAAATCTTAGAAACCGTGAAGCCCTATACAAGGAAGTTCTTCCTTTCTTTACCCAGCACACCCTTTCCACCTTCAGCCATTAGACTAGATAAGACTATTCTATTTTTAAAACCCCACATGAAACCTATTCTAGAGCTGCCCTCCGTGACCTATCCATTATCGAATTTTCCCTTCTTTGTTTAATTTAAATCTCTGAGGTTGGTTCTCACATTCCTAGTAAAACTCTTCACCGTGGCGAAGTCCTTTTAGTCTGCAATTGCTGCTTGCTCCATTATGATTACCTTGGAAGTTCATTTATCTCTACCTCCCCTCTCCTTGTATCACTCCTCATTTGGAGTCTTGCTCAGCCTCTGGTTTATAATTCTCTTAGTCTCAAATTCCTTTGGAAACCCAAACCAGTGACCAGTCACCCCTCCAGGTTTCATATCTTCTATCATAATCATCCTTCACTTTCGACTTAGGGGGGTGAGAGGAGAAAGTGGATAAATTTCACAATTTGCTCCAAGGTTTTCAGTGTTTGGTTCTCATATCACCTCCGATCTATAAATTTCAAAGTGCTAGATTGCTCCCACAGAGTATTACTTTCCTTTGGCATAAACAAGTTCAGCGAAAGAGGTAATCTGCTTTACGTTGGTGCCTGGAAATTACTAGGAGAAATTAGAACATGCTATTTCTGATCCTTCCATCCTGGAAAGGTCAACAGGAGATGGACATGTTTGGATTTCTGGCTTGTTAACCTCCCATATCAATGTGCAATATCTGTTTTCTCAGCTCTCTTAGGGACACAGAGACTTGGAGTAACTCTTTCCATACTGGAGACAACCTCCCCAACCCAGACCCCACATTTTTGAAGGATTGAGTCACAGGCCAATGCAATATTGGATACAGCCTGTGGGGAGCACTGACAGTGCCTCTTACCTCTCCTACAACCCTGAGTGGGCTATTCCGGCTACCCAGGGAAGTTATCCCTTTAACAGCCCTTAGACTGTATGGATTTGCAGGTCCCAGGTATGTTTCCACCAGCCAAGTGGGCATGAGCAAGGGGTCCAGTTCACTGTCTCATAGAAACCAGGACTTTCAATGGCATCACACACTGAGGGTCAGATAGAGAAAAATAACCAAAAAAGCCTCTTTTCAATAGTAGATGAGATGTTACATAATAATATATGGCATAAACAAATTTGGAAAACTGAAGCTATTTCTTTTTACAATTCCAAGGTTCCAAATGCTAAAACCTTTTTATTTATTTATTTGTCCTAGTGTTAATGAACAACTGTAACGATGGCTACCTTTCAGGTGGGATGATGGACTATTTAACTTCTACATCATAGGTCTCTGTAACAGTTGGTTTTTTTTTTGGGGGGGGGGTTTTGTTTTTTTTTTACAATTAGCTTGTTTTACTTTTGTAAACTGGAAACACATAGGAATTCGCCGTTATATTATTCACCATATAACCAATCACATACAAGCAGGAGCCATCCTCTCTCCCCTCGGTTGTCGATTCCCCACCACACACACACACTCCGCCAAACTGCCTAGTGCCTGGATCCAGGCCCCGCCTCCTTCCCCTGGCCCAGTATGCTCTCTACACCCCCCCACCCCCCCCACCCCGACCATCTCCCCCTCCCTGTTGCTCATGCTCCTCCAGTCACTGAGTGGCAGTGTTATCTATCCATGCTCAAATTCTCTTTCTCCTCTGCTCAGAGCTCCACTCTGAATACCTCTTTTACTCGTCTCCCTTTATCAGTAATACATGCCAGGGAATATTCATTGTGTTGTGCTCTACAAGTGGTCACAAATTTTTTTCTTAGGTTTACAAAAAACATACCTAAATGGACTACAAGATCCTAAAGGACATTGTCTTTATAGTTACTGAGCTCCCAGTAACTATTGTTCACTTACCAATTAGATTATATTAAATAAGTATAAATGCCAATCACCCCTTACATTTAATTGGACACCTCAGATAGGACTGAAGCCCTGAGATTTGTCTTTTCTGTGGCACTACCCATTCCATATCTAATGCCCTCGTATACCTTCTTAGGGAGTTGAAACTAGAACCAGTCACATTACTGTGGTCACTCTCCACAATTTTCTAACTTAGTCTGCAATTACAGCAGCTTGTCACCAGGTAGCAGCAGGTATGGATATCTGTGTTATATACAGTCACCTGGTGAGAGGTAACATACAGAGGGTGCCAAAAAAATGTATACACATTTTAAGAAAGGAAAAAACTGTATTAAAATTGTAATACTCAATATATACCAATAACAAAAGATGAATACAAGTCACGTGTATATTTTTTTGGCACCCTGGTATATGTCATATCTCCTACTACTTTATATACACTCTATTTAAATTCTTTTCTGTTTCATTCATGTTCTTATTGTGGTTTGCCTGAATTGTTAGTCTGTGCTTTCTTCCTAAAGGGAAATATTTTAAATACACCTATAAAAATTTAAAAATGAATCCTAAGGAACATTTTTGGATTTTTCTCCTAAAACTTTTTTTTAATCAACAAAACATCATTCCAATTCTATGTGATAGGCACCAAACTAGTTTAAAGTGATTAAAATATATATATATATATATATATATATATATATATATATATCAGTTACTATAATTTTGAGGGTTTTTTTTTTCAAGTATGGGCAGAGACCCGACTTCATTTTCTTCAGGTGTATTTAGTTTTACTCTCTCTCCTAAGGTAGAATCTAATCTTAGATGTTTAAAAAAAAATTATAAGAAAAACCAAATCACCACGGCCTCTATTTCCTGTGTCTGTGTCCCTGCAACCTTCCTTTTGAAATACTTGGTGAAACCCACATGGCTGCCATTCCCTGTCTACAGTGCTCCTGAGTGTTCACCCACCCCTATCACTCACCTCAGCATGTGCCTTGAATCGCTGGAACATGAACAACAAAAATGTTCGTTAAATAATAAGGCCCATTGCACATCTCCGTTGATCCCAATAGCAAGGACCCCAACTTGTCACAGCAAGACAGGAGATATCAGAATGAATATGTAAAATAACTTTCCTGTATCAGAAAAAAGTTTCTAAATATTAAAACAGCCAACTAGATCAGAGGTGGGCAAAGGACAACCAATGCACCAAATCTGCGTCCTGACCCCTGACTGTTTTGTAAATCAGATGGTACTGGAACAGAGCCATGCCCATTCACCTGCATATCATCTATAGCTACTTTCACCCTATAAGGGCAAAGTAGTTGCCATAAAAACCATATGGCCCACAAAGCCAAAAAATATCATATGGCCCTTCACAGAAGAAAAGTTACCAAACCCTAAGTTACATTTTTAAACAGAGTTAAAAGGGTTTTGTGACATCTCCATGGGCACATTCAGTCCAGTCTATTTTCCTTTATTAATGTTACTTGTTTTTCTTTTCATTCCCAGTGCCATCACTTTACTTTCAAGAATGGACTCACATTGACTAAATTTACATGAGACAAAAGTATAAACAGAAAGTGAACCTCTCTTGCTTATCTAGATTTTTAGAGTCCACAATTAAAATTTCTGATTTCACACATGTTTTTCTAAAAGAGGTGCCCCTTTACCCATATTTTTGAGGGCATAGTACTACCATGCTTATATACTTATTGTCTACATATTAGCTAAAAATATATACCTGGTTTGCCTACTATAGTCCTAGTGTGCACCTGTTGTCCAGGCATACTTACTAATAATGCCATCTTCAATCCAAAGTGTCCTGATTTGTACAATACATTACAAAGCCAATAGATTATATCATTTTTCCCACAAAAGAGTACTGCAAGACAACACCTCTCAAATGTCACCTGCATTCTAAAAATAAAGATCAGAAACGCCTCCTCATAAGAGATCCATTCAGATCCATCCATTTCTCTATTAAGAAACCTGTAAAATAAAGTTACTTGTTAACAGCCAGTTTCATTTCCTGTTTACATTTTATACAATTTAGAAAAGGGGCATCCATATGAATTTTTAGACGCTCCTCTGGATAAGCAGCAGGAAACTGTGGCTTCAGCACCATTGTGTGGGACCCAAAAATCATAGACCCTTGAAGAAGAGAGTTGTGTCTCCACCTAAGCATGGAGAGGCAGACCATTGAGAGAAAAGGGCGACAATTATTTTTATTCCACGTAAGAGAACAGGAGGGGACAAGGGGAATGGAAATGTAATGACTGTTATCCCAATGCCGATTTCCTATTATTTATTTCACTTACTAACTCTGTTTGGTGGAGAACAAGAGAGGAGAAAATGTATAGAAAAGAGTATTCTGAGACATGTGTGACCACAGAGGTGAATGTGGCAAAAGCAATTACAATTCTTTGCAGAACAGGTGGCTACAACCGCCCCCTTCTACACCTTTCCTCTCCTGGTTTAATAAAATCAGTAGCCTGAGTGGATAATGATTAGGTGGAGATGTTCCCATGGCAACCGTTGCAGAACACAATGAGATTTCCACACTAGCTCAGCAAAGGAAGTGGCATACAAAGCCAGCATCCCAGTGACTATGGAGCTTGAGGGGACGAAGCAGCTTCAGCTGGAGGTTTTAGGGCACCAAGTATCAGCTGCCAAAGAGAGCTTGGAGCATCAGACCAGCCCTCTGGACTTTGCAGTAATAGGTTAATTGGCTGTCTGGCCTTTCCTGTCCATTAATTTGCTAACCTTGATCTTTAAAGTTCTATCTGCCTCTCCAGGCAGGGCCATTTTTGATGGACAAGCATGAGGTAATTTTATTAGAGCTACAAAAATAT